GAGTAAAAAAAAACTGACACCTTTAAAATTCAAATTAGCTGCGAACTTATGGCTGGAATATGACAATTCCCATGTACAATCAACAAAAACGATTTGATAAAACTGTTCTTTTGTATTTACAGAGCTTAGAATGCATTTTAACTCCCAATGGGAACAAACTTTATGTTTTAGGTTAATTAATATGATATGCTTCGTATACCTATGAAATATTTTAGGCAACTTCTGTCACATTACAGTCTCTATGCGGCTAATTTGAATTTCAAAGGTGTCAGTTTTTTTTTTACTCACCCTGTACAGGGTGTATAAAAAAAAACGCAACCACTTAATATTCTAAAATTCATATTGTTCATAAGCTCAATAGATTTTATGCCCCTGGGATTTTAAAATGGCTTCTGATCGTACAGTTCAACTGCTAATGGTCAAATCAGCTAAACTAATAATGGTGCAGCTAACAACCGAACAACGAGTTTTTATTGTCGACCTTGTAAATAAATTGTAAATAAAATTTTACTCGTTAAATACTTTCAATTCAACTCGTTGGTTTACGCACCCGACTTTGTTTACCAACGATTGTGCAGCTAGAATATGATTACAAGCTTTCTCGCATTCCAGGGGCCAAACGTCTTTTGTGTTGTAGAACAAAGAGGATATTCATGAATATTAAGTGGTTGCGTTTTTTTTGATACACCCTGTATACAGGGTGTCCCAAAAAAACGCAACCACTTAAATATGCAAGAATATTAATATTGTTCGGGTTTGCACCATAGTTCAGCTAAAATGACTTTTAGCATTGTGAATGAAGGATTAAGAGCCATTTTCAATTCCCAGAGGTGCTTATCTATTGCGCTCTAAAGCTGTATTAATGTTCTGCATATTTAAGTGGTTGCTTTTTTTTGGGACACCCTGTATAATATAATCATGAATATTAACTTCCTATTAGATCATAAAAGGTCGAATATCATTATTAAGTGGTTATATTTTTTTATACACTTTGCATGTATAGGAGGATAGCAACTGTGCTATTTTGTGTCTTTAGCCTATTGGTAAACTCTTTGTATTGCTCCAGAGACTTTGTAACTACGCACTAAATAGAATCAGACTCACGTATACGTGATGCAAACCGTGCATGAAGGGCTTCGAATTTGCTCTTTAAAAATAGATTTTTCTTCAGAAGCAAAGACTAAAGAAAGTACTGTAGGTGCATACCCCGAGTAACCCAAAAAAGACTTGCACCGTTTGATTTCATGTAACTTAAAAACTGTTTATGAAATTAATTATGCCCAAATATGTTTTAGCCTATTGCAATTGAGCGAAGATTATAACTTAAGATAACAAAAATATACAACAAGATTTTCATGCGAGTGGAGAGAAAAAGGTCTTTGAGAAGATAAAAATGTTCTTTATACAGGAATAAAGAGTTTGTAGAGTTGTCGGGTCGTCGGAAGAAGGCGGGTGAACTGAAGGTCAGGATTGTGAAAGGGTTATCGCACAATCTGGTAAAAGATGTCAGTGTCTGAAATCAATACGTTGCTTTACACATGGGTTATATGTTGTTCTTGATGATTAAAGGCTATTTGGTGTTGTATTGCCGTTGAGAAAATTTGGTTGACTATAAGTATACTATCTGCATGCCCTTTGGCTTTGCATCCTTATAAGTCAAGAGACTAGCTGTCTCCATGAAAACTGGAAACACGTATAAGCAGATTGAAAAATAATTCGCCTTCATGCGTATATCTATAGTAAACTACAGTTTAGGTAGTTACGTTAAAAGAAGTGAGAGAAACTTAGACAACTTCTGTCAGTTATACCCGATTGTGAATATAGCTAGGTCATTGCAAACGTGCATGTTATTTTGTAACCGGAGACTAAAGCGTCATAGAACAGGAGGTGGTTATTGAAATCTTTACCATAGAAATTTCAAATGAATGGCCATGCAGAAATACATAAACTAGGGATCCAAGGATAGTGCAAAGTTTCAGTGCCCGGAGAAAAAGATTTGATCTAGTTGTATGTGATCTAAAGAGTTGCATTTGCTATGTATATGGCGGATTGTGAAAATTTAATTCAAATAACGTCAGTAGCCGCGATATTGTCGTTAGTGGAATTCCGTTTTAGTTGCTCATGCATGCAAAACGGAAGAAATTTTCTGAGCTTAATTAACAGAAAACTTTATACACTTGTAAATATAGGTCATTGCATGCGTCAGAACAATTAATTGCATTTCCCGAGTAGTGGCTTCATAATATGTCAGTACTTCGCTATTGTGCCAAGTGATAAAACAGGTACGCTTCATTGGAAACATATCTTCAAAATGGTGTGGATTTGAAAGGGGTCGTTCCAGCGTTTTTCAGATGGCATACTCACCTTCATTCTGAGAAAATTTCTCCCGATTGGCATGTATGAGCAGCTGAAACGATCTTTCGTAATACATTTGCAGTCAAGACATTGGTAGTTACCAAAGCACTTGCTCGAGCATTGGGTTGAGATATTTGTACGTATTCGCTCTAGTGCTGACAGTGGTGGTTGATCGATTCGTACTTGGTGTTGTGCTAACTGTAGTTGTTGATCCAGTTGTAGTTGTTGATTCGGTTGTACTCGATGTTGTACTTGGTAGTGTACCGCCTGTGGTTGTTGTTTCGATTGTACTCAATGTTGTACTCGATGTTGTACTTGATGTTGTACTGCCTGTGGTTGTTGATTCGTGTGAGCTATCTATCAAAATAGATCTGGGGCCGGTTGTCCGAAAGACGTTTATCTTAAACGGCGGATAAGCCAAAGTTTATAATATTCTAATAGATCTGCATCTTATGCATTAAATATGTAGTTTCCTGGACAATTAAGCTATTTACATCGAAATATTTCAGCTCAGTTGTTCAATAAATGGATAATTTTGTTTTCCATTTTGAACTTATTCGGCACAGTTAAAGCTAAATGCCTTTTGAACAACCGGACCTGTAGTATAACCGTTATATGAAGGGTGAAAAAATAGGGGGTCGTTTACATATTTAGCTTAGCCGAAATTCAACCAAGCATGGGATTTAAATTAGTATACAGGGTGTATCAAAATAACTGCAAACACTATAATTTGTATGCACGATATCGTACATTAAAAATTTCAATGGCTGTGCAACTAATTACGCTGCTGAGATTTGATTAAGAACAGAACTATAAGAGAGTTCCTTATTTTAAAGTATACAAGCAAACTCAACCTCCGACTAAAATCGTTATTAAGTCTTTTTGTTAGCTGAGGATTGGTAAACGAACTAATGTTAATTCGCTTTGTGTGCTTATTTTGATATAGTACTGCCTAATTTCAATGTGACTTGTTAACAACTTCCTAAATCTTTCAGCCATTTTGTTTACGTTTCTCTACTAGGCATATATGAGCTAACATCTTTCTATAGCAGAGAGCCAATCAGATTGCACATTAGCTCACATCCAGCGCTTGTGTATATTATAATCATGAATATTGACTTCCTTTCGATCATAAAAGGTGGAATATCATTATTCGGGGTTACGTTTTTTTATGCACTCCGCATGTATATGAGAATAGAAACTGTGCCCCTTTTTAAAAGGTGCCTTTAGCCTATTTCCAAACTCTTTGTATTGTTCCAGAGAATTTGTACCCCACATTAAATGGAATCAGACTCACGTCATGCAAGCCGTTCAGAGCCTATGCGTGCTTCGAATTTGTTCTTAAAAGATAGATTTCTCTTCAGAAGCAAAGACTAAAGAAAGTAGTGTAGATGCATGCCCCGGGTGACCCAAAAAAGACTTGCATGTGTGCTGGTTTTAAAGTCCTTTCAAAGTGCGCATGAACTTCGTAAATATATGGAGTATAACGGATACATCAGTAATAAGCATGCCTGAATTTGAGGTGATTGATGTCATTAGTACGTCACAAAGGTGAAAGGCCTATAATGTAGTTAAATGTTTATGACATGCTGGCAGCTTGTTCATTGTTCCATAGGCATAGTGATTTAATGCCTTAAAAAATTGTTCAACTGACCATAGGTTGTAAATACTCATTCTGTTCTATATAGCTAAAACGAGCTTCATTATTATTTTTTATTGAATTTATCATCAATTTATTGATGAGGAATTTTAAGAAAATGAACTGTTTTGAGTGAGGCTGACATTAATTAACTATTATAATTTATATTTGTTTCTGAATTTATAACCAGGATTAATTAGAGAGTGTAGGGAGCAACTTTTGGAATGTTAATGATATGCGATATTAGCGCGTTGTGTAATTCCAATCCACGCAAAACAGTTTTCATTAAGACCTTCAAAAAAAGGATAAAGTAAATTAAATATTGATAGGTATTAGGCAGAAGATCTCGTGGTCTTGTAGTGAATATATTGATTCTGAAAGTGCCAAACAATTTTCGAATCAAAGCATTAACTGTTCTTGATTATGTATATTAAATAGCCGTTCGACACAAGTTCTCGTAGGCTAGTTGAAAAGACAGCCAGATGCCGAAAGTGGCAAGTGATGGTTCGAATCCAGGCAAAATTGTTTTTAATTATCACCTTCAAAAAAGGATAAAGTAAATTAAATCATCGTAGCCTCAATCATAAAGACCTCGTGACCTAATGATAAAGATATTGATCTTGAAAGTGATAAGCTACTGTTCAAATCCTAGGATAACAGTTTTTCATGACCGCCGTTTAAGCTAAACGCCTTTCGAACAACCGGCCCCAGAACTGCAGTCGTCAATCCGGTGGTCTATGGTTGTGAATAGTTATCGCAAGTGGCAGGCCATTGGGTCGAATCCGGTCAGAAATGTTTTTTCATTAAGACCCATTTACAATGTGTCTGTGTCTTAAGTAACAGTTGTTAGTGTTTGTCGAATCTTGTGGAAAAGATTGTAAAAGACCTTGCATCCTGCACATGTATGGCAATATTCTTTCATTTTCTGATTACATGCAGCTGCTGTGTCACAATTAATAATAATATGACTTTCACGTATACCAATCAGCAGAAACTGTTTATTAAATGCATCTAAGTATTTTATGTATCATAATTCATAAATATATAAACACAAAAACTCTATACCCAACCATGCAAAATCTATGAAAAAACACAAATGTGTAAGAACCAGTTAAGCAGTTCATTCAAACTAACCAACTTCCAGTCAATATCTAAGTTCAGTCTTACTACAAGCAATAGCTTTACTATGTCTATGATGCATGATTGTGGTTACAGCAACGTTTAAAACAAGTCATCTTCTCAAGCTGACTGTGCCGAGATGACTTTTCACCAGTTGCAAACTATTTGGCCAATCTTCTTCCGGAATACTCTCGGCAACAAAGCTCAAATTCACGTCGCTTTGGAATAACATGCAGTATGTTGACCCACCGAACATGAAGGTACCCAGGGGGTCGCCTTTCTTCACCTTCTGCCCATAGTAGACATCAATAGGACAGCTCGAGATCTCAGCCATTCCCACAGCGATGAAGATCACCGTACCAATTGCCGAGTGGCCTGTGTCGATGTGGATCATGGCTCGGGTATTAACGTGACTGAGGTAGCGTTGGGAATAGGTATTAGCTGTTGGATCATAACCCATTGAGAGAGCTTCTGCGTAGTAGGCGCCTTCCTTGATGTATGCCTTGGTTATTGTACCATCAACCGGTGCATGCCAGCGATGGTAGTTGGCAGAGCTGAGAAAGGCCTGGTACACGGTACCACCCACGTACTTTTCAGTCAAAGCGTCGTCATCCAGCAGATGTTGCAAGCTGTACGGTTGGGCCTTGATCCAAAATTCATCGCGGTGCTTCGGCTGTCTCTCGATAAAATACGGACAGGCTTCGCAGGGGGAACAAATCACAAATGGATTATTGGGATCAGCGATTGGGCGTACGTCCACGTCGGTTCTCAGTTTTCTGGCAAAGAAATCATTCCATGACTTGAAACCATAGTACACAGGATCACTCATATCGACTTGGTACGTGTCGAGAAAACCAGGCATTGTTGCCAATGACTCGGGGCACAACCATCCATCCTGCAAGAAAATATCAGGATACATGAAAAAAATCTATGGGTGCTTGTAGAAACTGAAAAGAACAAGCAATCCAGGAAAGTTTGGGTTTTAGCTTTGCTATTAGATTACTAGGACGAGGATCAAAAGATGTGGAGGGGGGCTTCTATATTTGTATAGAAATGGGAGATTTAAGGTGGTAAAATAGTGGTAGTAATGTCAAATTCTTTCATTTTATGGGATAAAGAAAATATCGAAAGTGGTTAATGGTATATGAAAGTGGTATAAAGAGTATAAAGATTCTTTCTTTCGACGATTTTAGAACTGGATTATCTCGCATCAAAATGAAGATCTGAAAGAAATACTGCACTACAGTTATTGTAAATGCTCGAGTACACAACCAGCGACAACCAACCAGAAGATGTGTTGATGATTTGTTGCATTAGAATATAAATATGCTACAATAATACCGTAGAATTCAAAACTAGTTTCGAATCTTCGTTGCTCAGGTACTGCGCCCAATCCCTTAGAATAAATCTGAAGCACTTGTTGACTTTATCATTGATGAAAGCCATGGTTCCAGGAGGGGTGGCCATCACGTAGACGAGGAGGCTGTTAAGAGGGGCACTGCCAAGCACGCTGTTATATACAGGGGCTCCACTCATGACATTCTGCATCTTCAGTAACATATCCATGTAGTCTGAGATGGGGCTCTCTGGGATGTCTGGGTCGGGGAACTCGTAAGTAAACATGGTTGAAAAAAGCATGTTGACTTCTGGGTCAGTTTCGATCAGATCTTGCAAGGCCAACAGCGAGGGACGAGTTAGTTGGTCTGCTCTGCGCATCTGCTTGATATACTTGTAGATTGTTTTGAGGTCGGCCCCAAGCCAGTTTCCGAGCATATATGTTTTCGACATTTTTTAAATCCTGAAAGAGATTAGATTTAATTTGATAACTTTAGTAAACTACCAAATACTCCATAGAAGCAATTTTTAGAAACATTGGCCTGTCATTTCATTATTGTATACAGGGTGTCCCAAAAAAAACGCAACCACTTAAATATGCAAGAATATTAATATTGTTCGGGTTTGCACCATAGTTCAGCTAAAATTACTTTTAGCAATGTAAATGAAGGATTAAGAGCCATTTTCAATTCCCAGAGGTGCTTATCTACTGCGCTTTAGAGCTGTATTAATGTTCTGCATATTTAAGTGGTTGCTTTTTTTTGGGGACACCCTGTATATTTGCTGTGTATGTATATGTTAAACCTTTGGCTTTTAAAATCCTCGATTTCACGCACGATCGATCTGACATTGTCTATAAGCAACATTTAAAACGAAAATATTTGGCTCTGCGCCTAACTACCTGTGTCCAATGATAGTAAAGCACGATATTTAATTCTTTTGTGTGTAAGGTGAGCTTTTCGATGTCTTTAAGCTTAAAAAGGGTATTTAATTCTTTTGTCTTTATACGGTGAGCTTTTTAATGTCTTTATAAGCTTAAGTGTTCAAAATCCATTGGCATTGCAACCATTTGCAATCATCGTCAGATTCATTCCATCTGTTATTTTATCGATATTGAAGTGATAATTCTTAAAATTTAATAGTTTCTCTCATTTGTATCCGTTCTTCTTATTAAACAGTGTAAAGTGCGCGAAAACAACGCGTTTCTGCATAAAAATATTAATAGATTTGCTTAATAATTTGAAGTGGCAGACTTGTATGAAATCAGTGGCGTAGCCAGCCTGACGATTTTGTCCCGCTATGTAAATTTTGAGTTATTATAATTATTCATGTCTTTAGAAATCTATTGTTTTCACAGTCAGTGAACACAAAAATGTTAGCATAGCGGGACAAATTAACAGGCTGGCTACGCTACTGTATGAAATGAAGCCATGCGGTGGCTTTTTTAAGCGGTGGCTTTGATTCACGACATAATTAAACTACGAGAAACGTCTGGTATCGTCGCCAAACAGGTTTCCATGACATGAAAACACAAAACTCTAAAGAATCAGGTTAGTCGATACCGAAGCTATAAGTGTGTTGAGAAGACAATGCATTTTATATAATTATGCAGTGCGAGTGCCTATACGTCAGCAAAGTATCAAGCTCGGGTTTCAGCAGACTGATTTTTTCCCTTTGCAAACTCCCAGCAAATTAAAAATCTCTGAGCGGACAATATTGTTCGAAGATGTGCACCAAGATATTTCAGAGGTAGACAATATACGCGCATACGATGCCTTCGTCGCTACGTAAAATTCTCTTTAATTTACATTTTGTAAACTCGCATTTGTTCGAACAAAACGTTATTATTGAATGACAAGCCAATTGGAAATATTGGGGAATGACTAAGGGGAGTTCAGCTCTGATTTCAATTCTCTTAAAAATCTGATTCTGCAAGCAAGCTCTGCTTCATAAAAGCTGATATACAATTCGGCTATACATACATACATAGCTACAATAAACGTGCTTAAGTCGGCTTAGGCAAGCAGTAGAACGTATGGAGATGATATTTTCATTATTGTAGCAAAAGCATTCACTTAGTTTGCCTTTTCTAGGTTTCCTAGCTCTTTCTATCAATTATTATCTGCAATAAATATAGTAAAACAACATGCAATTCCAACATGCACATTAACTGTTGCAGCGTGGTCAGGCACCGTGATAACGGGGAAAATTGCGATGCAGTTTTAACAACTACGACGATTGTACAACGTTTAAACCTAGTTATCTACATTTTCTTTTATCTTTTTGGATCAATGCCTTTGTTGGTTAGAACGTTGCAGTAGCCGTTGAATTGCCCAAACGTTTTAGTATTATACATTATAACAACGGCAACACCTATCATGTAAACATCTCTCAGCTAAATCAGAGAACTCTGAGCGAAGAAATATATTCGATATTAGGTGTACGAGCTATATACGTGTGTACACAATTGATTACAAACATACCTTAGAGGCTGTAACAAATCTTTGATTCTGAATCTTTCCTGACTTCTTCTTTAGTCCGCTTGAACCAAGAAAATTTGAGGCACTGATCTGTGGGCTTCGCACGTCCAAATTCATACGACCAAGGTGTGCAGTGGCGGAATAAATTACACTTAATGTTAGCTTAATTTTAAATTCAAAACACGTTAATAACAACGCTATTGGTTATATATTTGAAAAGAATTTTTTTTCAGTAATATCTGCCAATGCGATTGCGATTTTAAGCTTTAGTAATTTATTCTACACACCCTAAGATCCTAGATCAGCCACTGGAGGTGTGCTCGTGAGATCTTGACAAAGAGGTGGATTAAAAGGTGGATTATAAGATGAAAAACAGACAGGGGATGGTTTGGGGAGGGGCGATTTAGTGTTTGCGCTATTATTTATAACTCAGAGATTTCTGCATGTTACACAATAGCTAAATTGCCTAAGATAAGCACACTTAAATTTTGCAAAATCGAAGTTTGGCCGTGAGTTGCGGCCAATGATTTGCAAATTTGAAAGTGTTATCATCTCCCCCGGATTTTACAACGATTTGCGACAAATCTTTGCAATTTCAGTATGTTTCATCAACTGTGACGGTCCATCTCGTCTTTGTTGTTTTGTCGACTAAAACGGAACCGCAAACGGGTGGGGGGGAAGAGCGAGACGAAACAACTGCCTAAATCACGGAATATTCCGGCAACATCCATCATGAACCTAATGTCTGTTCACACGATCCAATTTTGTCAGATCCAATTCACTTGTGATGTATGTTTTATATAGTCTGTTGACTTGCAATCTACATGGGCGTCAATTCCACTAAAATCAATGCTGTACTGCTGTACTGTTATCAATAACCAACTTCTTTTCATACGTTAGAAGTGAATTGGATGCGACAAAGTTGGATCGTGTGAACACGCCTTATATTGACACAAATAAAACTACCTAAGTAAGGCAGAATAAGGCTGCGTTGTGAGAAAGACTGTAACAAGGAATTTGCCTAGCTTCTATTAAGTGATAATTTGCAAGTTATGAAATGCAAAGAAAATCGATTCAATTTTTGTAGGAAGAAAGGCTGCGTGTACGAAAGGCAAAAACACGACAACGTCAACCTACAGCACTATAGAGATTACACTATGGCTGAAGCGCGCAAAGTCAGCTCTGTTAAACCAACTAAGTAGATCTAGGGTGAGTCAGAATAAATTACGTTGGGATAAATGTACACTACCGACCGAATACACACGAACGACGATATTGGCTTTATATTTTTAAATAATGGTTTAAGACCACTGAAAATCTACCAAAGTGATTGCAAAACAGAGCTGTAATATTTACCACCTTAATCCATGGCTCCCCAATGTTATGTCACTGCGACACAACTATTATTTTTCATTATGACCTCTAAGAAAAGAATGAAGTGAAAATATAAAAGTCACTCTTCAACACAAGATCTCGTGGTTTAGTGGTGAAGACAATGACATCGGATATGGCAACCCGTGGTTCGAATCCCAGCATAACTGTTTTCATTATGGTCTTTGGGAAAAGGATAAAGTAAATGAAATAACCATACCCGTTCAGCCGAAGATCTTGTTGTCTAGTGGTGAAGACAATAATGCCGAAAGAAGCAATAAATATTTCGAATCCCTGAAAACCTTTATTTTATCATGACCTTCGACAAAAGGGTGAAGTAATTCTCTCGGAGCGCGCTAGACAGTCTAACCGCCTGAAATCCTAAAACCAGCTTACATGAAGTTTGCCGTAAAGCGTGAGCGCACGCCAAAAACTATGTTCAATTGACCAAACGTTTACTCGAACGTAAGATATGAATAAAATTTCAAAATATCAATGCATATGAGTTATTCTTTGGAGAAAATTCTTTCAAGATCTTAGTGTGGAAGGTCAGTATTCAGTAAAGTCATTTTAATATAAGATTTTGCACGCGAATGAGTCGTATCAGATTGTTTATCTTGAGCAATTATTTTATATAAATGCACAAGAGGATGCTCGGATATTATATAGCCATTATAGGTTCATAATACCCTGGTTTTTGTATTAATAGAGTAAATAGACGTATTAAATTGTATTATGTGATGGTTTAGACCCTGATGAAAGAGGGGGATTCAGGCATTGCTGACTAAATAGTCTAGGACCTGTAAAGGAGTTTTTATGCATTTCATTTAGGACAGATTAACTGTTTTAGGGTAAAATGACCATGGCGGTCAACATGGCATATGTGCCAAAATGTGAATCCGGGACGAAAGTCCTGAAAATGACCACACCCAGAAACAGCATAGTCGACATAGCTCTAAGTCCTCAATTATGAAAGCTACAGTCTTTTTGAATTGTTTATATGGTTCAGAATAGTTGCTTTTAGGGGCGGTCACTGGAATGTGAAATTAGCCTAAGTTTTATATTTTACAAGAAAATGAATGTTTACTATTCCAGGTCAACTGCTAATTATGCATAAAATTACAGATTCACCTGGCAAAGTCTAATTTTCCCTATTTTCTAAAAAATTTTTGCCATATGATGAAAAAACATGCTTATTTTATATTTATATTATTAAATTTCCTAGGAAATAACAATGTTTTGTTGCGATACGACATATTTCATTTCACTTATCCCCCGCCATAACACGATTTCAGCGATATTTTGCAAATTTGATCGCCGTTTTGGCGCCGTCTGTCGCAAGCACCATCCAAATACTGTACTTTAGCACGATTCTAGCGGATTAAAGAATTATTCAACAAATTTTCGATGGGTTTTGAAGTAGTGCCATGTAATTTTTTTTCTATTTTTGTGTCCCTTGACATTTCATGAATTATCTCGCCATTGCCATGTCTCGTCGCCTTTCTGTACGATAAATGCCAGTTCTTGATCCCCAGCTGTATTTTTTTCTCAGCATCGATAAATAATTTATAGTACAATAGCAGCTATTCAAAATTTAAAAGC